GAGATGGCGTTCCTTGGAACCGCTATATACCTGAAATATTCTGATTTTTCCTACTTCTTCTGGAGCGCTGCAATTGTTTCGTTCTCCGCGTTTTCAACCTGGCGGAGTGAGACTGTGTAATATTAAAACTCTGCGTCGGACACCTCAACCTAACGCAGACACAATAAATCTGAGGATCGGTTTGATCAACGCGAGGTCAGTGATGACAAGACTTTTTTATTTCATGAGTTTTTTACTGCACAAAGAATAGACTTCATGTTCATTACCGAGACGTGGATTACAATTGGGGACATGAGTCCTTTCCATGAGCTCTTACCACGGGACTGTAAGTTTTATAATACCCCTCGTTCATCGGGCCGAGGAGGAGGTTTGGTTACTATATTTAAAGAGAAGTTTAACTGCAGATTAATAGCAACTGAAGAATATGGTTCATTTGAACGACAGCTGCTGATCTTGGACACTGGTAGTTCAGTTGCCATTGTTATTATTTATAGGCCTCCTAAAACACAGAAAGACTTTATCAATGAATTTGGTGACTTTCTAGGATGTTTGTTTTCAAAATTTGATAAACTGCTTATTTTAGGGGATTTTAATATTCATGTGTGCTGCCCAGAAAATGTGATGACGAAGGACTTTTTAAACTTAATTGCTTCTTTTGAGTTAACCCAATTAGTTAATGGTCCGACTCATATGTATGGCCATACTTTAGACCTGGTATTAACACATGGTCTCCTTACTGAAGATTTAGAATTATATGACCATGTTATCTCTGATCACAAACCTATATTGTTTAATATTCCTGTTTCATGCTGTTCTGTTAACCCTGTTAAAACTCTGCAATGTTTTCGTAGTTTTTCATCTACAACTGGTACAGAATTTGTCACAAGGTTTAATGAGGTGTGTAAAGTGTCTGACTCTGTTCTTTAGGATATGGGTGTTGATGAGCATTTACACTGGTTGCATTCAGCCTGCAAAGATGTGTTAGATATAGTGGCTCCTCAAAACACTAAACAGCGTAAAGTTAGGTCTGATCACTTGTTAAATGATGAGATAATAAGTCTTAGACAAATCGGTAGACAGGCAGAAAGATAAAGTGGAAAAGAAATAAGTTACAAATTTATTATGATATCTTTAAGGAAGCGTTAAAAATTTTTCAGAGGGCTGTTAGATCAGCCAAATCTAAGTATTTTGTTGAGCTAATAGAAAAAAATGCTAATAACCCTAGGACGTTGTTTAGCATTATAAATTCTGTAGTAACTCCTCCGACACTAAATCTAGATCCATCCCCATCTATATGTGAGAATTTTATTAATTCATTTAAAACTAGGATTGAGAACCTAAGAGGGACTATTCCACAAATTAGCTGTGACTTTTTAGGCCGTGTTACACAGACTGCAGTTTTTAATAAATTTGAACCCATTACATTTCAGCGGCTGTGTGAAATTGTAAGCAGGTTAAAACCTACCAGGTCAGCCATAGATATGGTTCCTCCATGGTTTTTAAAAGAAAACTTTGAGGTCATTGGAGCTAGTATTCTTCAGATTGTAAACAAAAGATTAGATACAGGTGTTTTCACCAACATGCTGAAACAGGCCTTTGTGCAACCTGTACTAAAAAAATCCAACCTAGACCCAACTGACTTGACTAATTTTAGACCAGTTTCACATCTTCCATTTTTGTCAAAAATGTTAGAAAAAGTAGTATTTAGTCAAGAGGGACTATTCCACAAATTAGCTGTGACTTTTTAGGCCGTGTTACACAGACTGCAGTTTTTTATCAATTTGAACCCATTACATTTCAGCGGCTGTGTGAAATTGTAAGCAGGTTAAAACCTACCGGGTCAGCCATAGATATGGTTCCTCCATGGTTTTTAAAAGAAAACTTTGATTGCTGGTGATTCAGCTGTATTAGTTTTATTAGATCTAACTGCAGCCTTTGATACAATAGATCACACGGTGCTGCTTTCACGGCTAGAAGAATATGTGGGGATTCAGGGGAAAGCTTTAAATTTGTTTAACTCATATTTGACTGCTAGAAGCATGGCAGTAAGATTTGGCGCATATACATTAAACTCGACATCGCTCATATGTGGTGTGCCTCAAGGCTCTATTCTGGCCCCCACACTTTTTTCACTGTATATGCTTCCATTAGGAGACATCTTTAGGAAGTACAACATAGCGTTTCACTGCTATGTGGATGACTTGCAAGTATACTTACCATTAACAAATGGTAATAGATTAGAACACCTTATGTCGTGCCTCTCTGATCTAAAAACATGGCTGGCCTCTAATTTTTTATATCTCAATGAGAAAAAGACAGAGGTTGTGGTGTTCGGCCCTAGAGGATGAAGTAAAGTTTAATTTTGGCCCATTGTCTTTGTATGTCAAAGAACACGTTAAAAACTTGGGTGTTTGTATTGATAGCTCCCTGAAGTTGAACACTCAGATCAATCATGAGGTAAAATCAAGTTTTTTTCATTTGAGAAATCTGGCCAAGATTAAATCATGTCTGGCATTCAAGAGTCTTGAAATTGCAATTCATGCTCTCATATCATCAAGACTTGATTACTGTAATTCGTTATACAAGGGTATTAGTCAAGTATCTATCTTGCGGCTGCAGAAGGTTCAAAATGCTGCCGCAAGACTGTTAATGAATATTAAAAATTGTGAACACATTACTCCGTCTTTGATTTCTCTACACTGGCTTCTGGTACAGTATAGGATTGATTTTAAGCTTCTTTTATTAGTGTATAAGTCTTTACATGGCCTCGCACCTACTTATCTATCAGAGCTGCTAATTGAGTATCAGAGTGGACGAACATTAAGATCAACAACTCAAAATGTACTTAAAATTCCAAGGACTAAGTTGAGCCAGAAAGGGGATCATGCGTTTGCGGCAGTAGTGCCAAGACTTTGGAATAGCTTACCTTTACATGTCAGGGACGCTGACTCTGTACATGTTTTTAAAGTACAGCTAAAGACACATTTGTTTGCCATGGCGTATTCTTTTTGCTGATCATTTGTGTGTTCTTATTATTGTTGTTGTTGGTTTAGGTGATTTTTCTTTTCTCTATCTGATTTGTATATTGAGATGATGTAAAGCACATTGGTCAACATGTGTTGTTTTAATTGTGCTATATAAATAAAATTGACATTGACATTATTTTAACATCTGTATGTGAACTTTTATGTGTTGATACAGAACTAGGGCTTCACTGTCCGGCTTCATACACACCACGGCACCTGTTCACACTCTTTTAGAATAAAAACTGGAACACATACTACTTTAAAAATTATTTTCTCTTATTATTGTCATTTGGGGGCAGCTTGTTTCCTAGGGTTTCAGGACCTCCAGTGTGTCCTTACCCTCTTTTTTTTGTCTCATTTTCTATCTGCTAGCGTTGTTTTGCACGGCAAACACAGGAAAGAAAGCGTGCTGGCCAAGTCCCGCTGAGCAGGCGGTGAAAAGAATGAATTATTCAGCAGTAAGCATGCTTACAGCTGGCCGTTTGTGAGCTTTGATCTAGGAATCAGGCGTCTGCATGAATGCCCTTATTGTCATGTTATGTGTACACAGTGTGTGAATTATTGAAAGTGGCGAGGCCCTGGCTTCATCTGGGAGAGATTACAGTGTTGGCATGCTGGGGAGGTGGGCTGGAACTGAAAATCCCCAGATGCTATTTATTTGTCCTGGAGGTCACATGATCTTCTGCCGTTGTTATAGCCTTAACAGAATGGCCTACGTGAAGAAAGAGAGCTGCCCCTCCATTCAGCCCACACATGCATCAAGCACACATGTTGGAATCGCATGCTCATTGGCCTCAGGCTGTGTTGGGGAGCGCTAAACACTTGTTAGGACAGGGTCTTCGAAGTGGGAGTTTGTACTGTTTCATATAGACATCTCAATATTGCCACATGTGTACATGGTTTGTGGGTATTTCCAGAATTTGGTCTTCAAAGGATCCAGTGTCCAACCGGGGCTTTTCAGACTTATGTGGACACTTTGTCATTGCTGATGACCTCATAGTTAAAGGCATTAAATGAAAATTCACCCTATCTCTTTTCTAAATGCAAGTTATAGATCTTAATAAGGATGCAGGACTTCTCCAATCATTTAATCCACTTGAACTTGCCTCAGCAAGCTCATGCTCATCTCCCTACACTTTTCAGTGCAGCGCCCACATACCCAAATTCAGTTAACAACTGATAAATAGAGCCAATTTTTTTATTTTTTGATAATCTGTTACACTTGGATGCAGGTCACAATAGAAGAAAAAATCTGTTGTAACGTTATACTTAAAAGTCTGAAATACTTATTTTGAATAGTAATTACTTTGTAATTACTAAATAATTACTTCAGCCATTAAAAAAGTATATTCTATATGTGTGAAATATGAATGAAATATAGAAGTACTACATCCATTATATTGTCATTGTCATTTGACCTAGCAGCATCATGTCCTGATGGGATACTAAAGTGTCTATTTGGTGCACACTTCAGAATCTTGAATCTTTATTTATTTATACACTACTTTTCAAAGGTTTGGAAAATTTTTGATTTTTGAAAGTTTTTAATAAGGTCTCCTATGCTCACAAAGCTTGCTTTTATTCTTACAGAAAATTATATTTACAGAAAACTGGTTAATGCTGCTGTGTGGGTGTTTCTAATACAATAATACTCCTTTGACCAACATAATCAATCTCTCAATATTTTTCATATATATGTATATGTATCCAAAGCAACATGTTTTTCTATCTCATGTGTTTCTAGTGTTTCTATTCAATATTCTTTTTACTTTATGCTAATTATATTTGGAAGTAAATACAGTTCATTGATGTTCCAAAGTAAAATTGGTGGACACGTGGTAAATTGTAGCTACATCAATTCTGCGGTTGCCTATTTAAAAAGCTAGTTTTATTACACAGCCCTGGATAAAAAAATAAAAATAAAAAAAAACAAGGGCTCTATGGCAACCGTTGGCTACAGCTGGACACATAATTAGAGTTGATTGCCAGATACATTAAACTCAGAACTGGGAAGACAAGGACACGGAAACAGGTAAGAGAATCCGTGTTCTTGCATGCATGCCACTAAACGGGAAGGCCAGTACTGCTGAATGCACCTGCTATCTGTGCTTTTGAAGGATAAAAACTTACAGCTCACACAATGAACAACAGAAATAAAAAGATACTCGCAATTAGGGGTGGGCGATATAAGGTAAACTGTATATTACAGTGTTCTTAAAATCATTTTTTATGATGTTCTGTACATAATGTATATATATTTTTACAGAAAAGAGATTTAAAGAGTAATGATTAATAATACTGAATGTCGAAGATTTCGATTTTGATTGATTTGCTTTTTTTAATGTTCAGTGATCAAAATTGCAATTTTTAAAATCCATTATCTGCTCATAATCACTTTTTTAAAATTCAAAGAAAAAATTAGGCTTCCCTTGTTGGTAAGTACGTATAACTATAAGCTTATAATTTACAAAATAAATATATAAAAATTAAATAACTAAATTATTAATACATTAATTCCATAAGTATGGTAGTTAATATATAAATATATATTATAAAGAAATATTATAAAATTGACAACTTGAACCCTAACCCAAACTGTGACCATAAACTGCTAAAAATGTCTGTATTCAGTCAGATTAATGAATAGAAAGTGTGTGTGCCCTGTAAAGCCTGACTGATGTGTTTTTCAAACAATGAAAGAATAGTTTGCTCCAGTATTTTGTTCTAAAATAGAACACCTAAACAGAAAAACCTGAAACATGTGTTGGAAATAGATAAAAGTTCAGCACGCTATGAAAAATATGTACTGCTTTGGCTTGCGGTGTGAAACAAGCATTATTTTAGCAAGTGGAGCATTTGAGACAATATTCATCTTCCATCTTTTACTGCGCAGTGGTTGAGGTGATTGTAATACCAATTCTCTTGACAAATTTTACCGGTTTATTGTTTACTGGTATATCGCCCACCCTGCTCATATACACATAGGTTGGTGCAATGCACGCACACACACACACACACACACACACACACACACACACACACATAGCCACTCATGCAGGAGCATGGAGCTTTGCAGCATGTTCAGGCTGGGTGCAAGAACGCTAATGCGATTGTAGGAGAGACGGACCCTGAACGCTGGGCTCAGCCGGCAGATGTTTCATTCAGCTGTATGAGAACACGCCACTGAACAGCTATGGCCAAGACACTCACTCACACATTAGCAAACACAAAGCATCACTATTTTAAAAGGCTTATTATTAAAAAACAATTCAAATAGACATGTTTTTACACAGATGACCTGTTCAGGACCGAAATGTCTGTTTAAATCCATGAATCTGTTTTTTTCCACTTGACTGTAATGTAATTTGTTATGGTGATCTGTATGTGCTGGTGCAGCTGTAACACTTCAGTGGGCTGTGCTTAGACGGCTCCGTCTCAAAGCTCTTATCAGATAGATTTACTACAGCAGACAGGAAACATAATACTAGACATCCTTTTGTTTTAAATTATATGAATATTCCAGGTTATATAGTATCCAGGCCACTCTCTGATCCCTCAAACAAACAAGAAAAGGATTTAGAGTAAATCACTTAAAGTGATTAAGCAGCACAATATCTAAATTATCACGCTAATTTAAGCATGTTAAATAACATAATCAAACTTTGTGTTAGAATAAGATTTTGATACTGTCTAAAATAATTGATTATGCTTGGTCAGTTATGGCATTCACCAATCAAATATTGCTGTACAATAAGGTTTCATTGTTAACATTAGTTACATGAACTAACAATGAAAAAGTACTTAATATTAATAATTTCATTTACTCATACATTATTAAAATAAAAAAATTGTATCTCTTGATATTTTTAATGGACCTGAGCTAACATGAAATAACCATTAAAAAGTACTTAAAGGAATAGTTCACCCAAAAATTACATTTTTGTCATCATTTACTCACCCTCATGTCTTTCCAAACCTGTATAAGTTTCTTTCTTACGCTGAAAACAAAAGAAGATATTTTGAAGGATTTTGAAGAACCAAACAGTTGTTGGTCCCCATTGACTTCCATAGTAGGGAAAGAAATCTTCTTTTATGTTCAACATAAGAAAGAAACTCATACAGGTTTGCTCGTTCACTTAAGACACAACAGACTGCATTTGCCACAATGATTGTCGAGATCGGTATTTTGTCATAATTTTATGTGAATATGCATCTGTTCAAAGGCAAGGAGTGAATGAGATACTAAAGATGGTTCAGTTCGGTGTTCCCGCGCAAACGCGCCTCTCTGCGTGTGCGAGCTTCATGTTTGTGCGGCATTGATAGAAAACAGCGCACAAGTAACGAATCGAGTTCCATTTCGCCTTTTCTTTTGCTAGAATGGTTTAAAATCGCTTGCGTGTGTAAACATGTACAATTGATAAACTTTCACTCTATTATGGTTACATTTTGCAATTAATCCGCGGATCACATGCGTGCCGAACCGTGGGGCTTGGTCCGTACGAATCACGGATCAACTACGATCCGTTTAACCACTATTTTTGGCTGAACTGTCCCTTTAATATTAATTATAATTTCATTATTTACTAATACATTATTAAAATCAAAAATTGTATCTGTTGCATTGTTATTAAATAATGTTAAGAAAGATTAATAAACACTGTAGCAAATGTATTGCTCATTGTAAGTTAATGTTAAAGTTGACTAATAAAACCATATTGTAAAGTGTCAAATATTTTTGAATAATGACCATTGTACAGGACAGTAGAAATGAGCATAAATATTTGCTACAACTAATTAATGTAAGTGCAGAAACTTTTCTCTGTTTGAACTTCCAATTCAAAAGTGCAAAGTGCAGTAAACACTTTATGAAATTTGATATACAAACTGAGGCCTGATTTTTAATTATTAGCTTTTGTAATCGGCAGCATGCCACAGAGTTTAAATTGTATTTAACCAAGATCATGCCTTTATGTAAAACGATTTCCTAATTGACATAAACCTACATGGACACTAATATAAAAGATTGACACCTCTCAAACCCACAGCAAAGCAAAAAGTCCAGAAATCGACCCAAACGCTGAAACATCACAACAATCCCATTGTAATTTCATTCGGCTAAGCCTGAACCATTGAAGTGATTTTTGTAATTAATTTGGAAAGGTCAAAGGACCACTTGTGCTGCTGAGATATGTGTAAATGTGACTTTGCCAGGCTGGAAAGTCGAGAGTGGCGGGCCTCCGGAGACCATGACCTCATTAACACACGGCGTCGAGCGCGAGGCCCGCTCAACAGCCACTTGTGCGTGATTGGCCTGATTAAGACGAGGAACGCTCTCCACGTAACCCCTTGGAGCAGAGCCTCGTTACAACATCACACAACCTCCCACCTCACATCACTATTAATGCGCCATTAGTACATAATTCACAAACACAACTCCAACCTGGAGGAATATGCAGAGCGGCGGTTAAAGGGCCCCGGGGCCCACACGGCCGCTCTGGCTCTCCTCCCCGAAGAATACTAGACATGGCCATTCTCATTCAGCACACAGAAGATCACATCTGCGCTTTCTTAATGTGCTTAAGAAGCCTGCATTCTCCTTAATCAGCTCACTTAAGTGAGGAGGTGAGCGGGCCGGTGCGCTGGGCGGCCGTCGGCTTGGCCACGCTTTCCTTTTTATGGAGGCCTTCCTCGAATGTTTTGCTTGTGTAAAATGTCTGTAATTCTTTATTGCTTTTTCTTTTTGCTTTTCTTGTTTCGTTTTGAAAAACGGAGGTGTCTAGTCACATACAGGTCTTAGCAAGAAAGAAAGTTCGAGAAATCCAAGCTGCCATCAAGGTACGTCTGGCTCTGCCCAGTTGCAGGGGGGGCTTTTCATCGCCATGGTTACAGGCTGTTCCTTTGTTTTCCTCCCCTTCCCTAACCCGCAGGTGTCTAGTCACATTCAGGTTCTTGCCAGAAGGAAATCTCGCGAATTTCATTCCAAGCTAAAGGTATGCGCTTTTCTGCTTTTGAGCTTGTGGTTGCCATGCGTCTCACTTCCTGTTTCCTGTGAATGCCTTGTTGCACTAATTCCTGTAACCTAGATCCCTCGCATGCGACGGCCTGTTTAGCATACATAATTCAGCGCCTCTACCCTGTCCCCGATGTGCATCCTCCTTTCACGCTTGTCAGTGGAAGTCTGTTTTCCTGGCCGCTTTGGCCTCTGTCTCTCGTTGACGGCTAAGTGCGTGTGCTCTGAGTCTATCGCTATACAGTAGGTCCCACGGCGGCTTCTGGTTAAATATAGCAGGAGCGCAGGAACTGTCGGCACATGCTGCAAACCTGAAAAGCAGCATTTGCTTTGGAAATTAATATGGATGTGAAATTCAATAGCTCTGGAGAGCAAAGGCAACTATTAAGTTTGTTCCATAATGCAGCACAATTTTGCTGCTCACCGATTTGGAGCCGAGGTTTTATAAATCCCAGTTTTCTATCCCTGTAATTTTGGGGACGGCATTTTTAGAAGTTCACAAACTAAATCTGTAGGTTCCATCTTTGTGGGATACAGAAATATTCAATAAGTTAATAAATGATCAAATGGATTAAATCCACACACATTCTGATATAGGCATTGAGATATGTATATTGAGAAAATCGCCTTTAAAGTTGTCCAAATGAAGTTCTTAGCAATGCATATTACTAATCAAAAATGAAGTTTTGATATATTTATGGTAGGAAATTTACAAAATATCTTCATGGAACATGATCTTTACTTAATATTCTAATGATTTTTGGCATAAAAGAAAAATCAATAATTTTGACCCATACAATGTATTTTTGGCTATTGCTACAAACATACCCCAGCGACTTAAGACTGGTTTTTGTGCTCCAGGGTCACATATATATCAGAATGTATGTGGACCAAAATAAAAATAAAAATATCAGAATGTATGTGTACTAAATAACTCATAAAAATATGAGGAATAAAAAACTCATCTATACAGTTTTTTATTTCTAAACAGTGCAGATATTATTCAAAATAAGTATACTGCTCAATGATAAATCCATTTTTAAATAATTTTTAACATCTGTAACAGTGGATTTTTAGTATTATTGAGATACTATTATAGTTTTTATGAATATTTTGAATTATTTTTTATTTTTGTATTTTCCATTTTCATTTTAATTTTAGTTAAAGTAATTTTTGTTATTGTTGTTATTTTGTTGTTTATTTAGTAGTTTTTGTTATAAGTCTCTCTCTATATATCTTTGTTCATTTTTTATTTAAATTTTACAGATTTTAGTACATGACGTTAAACTAAATTAAAATGTTCTCTTGGCATCTAGCTGAAATAAAGTTTTTTTTTTTTAAATAGATATTTTATTTTATTTCAAGTAACAGCAGTATTTTTTTTATAGTTTTAATTTTAGTTTTAATTTTAGTTAACTATAATTTCTAATTTGATTCCAACTACAGTAAAAGTTTAATATGAAGTGTGATTTCTATGGTGTTATCTTCACCAAATTAATTGTGAGATCTGACTTAGAGAGATGCATGCAATAAAATAACTGTAAAAAATATTAATTATTGGTCCATTGGTCGGGCAAACAACTATCCCCTGCCTCAAACTAACTGTTAATTTTTAGACTTGCTGTTTCAGGATGCTCTAAAAACAGAAGAATGTTTTGATAGTGAAAGACACAGTGTTTACACCCCTTTCGGGTAAATCAGCCTTCAAATAGCTTCTAGTTGAGACCATGAAAAAAAAGTCCTTTAAAGATGTGTGATCTAAAAATTTGAAACCATTATATGACGAAACAAGGCCTCAGAAGCACAATGCACTTTGCTGGTCACATGAATGCCTTTCTGTGTGTCGTGTTTGCATGTGTGTGTCGTGTGTGGAGTGTTGTCTCGTGCTGGCAGTACGCTTCAGCTGGTGAGAGTGGCTGAGAGCTGGAGGTCAGAGTTCAGCGGGATTCTGGTCACTGCTTAAACAACACGAGCGGCCACATGACTGCAGGAAGAGCACAGTCTAGAGTAAAACCAGCGCTGCTTTGCCTTTATCTCTCCTGGAGTTTAATGAGGTCATCTGTTCTTCCCAAACACTCAAGAAGTCTGGACCAAAGAGGCCCATTATGGCCGTCGCTCAGATGCTTTTTGTGGCGTTCCCCTCTCTCCTGGCGCTTTCTCTTGGCTATTTTTCTATAACCCACTGGCCGTCAAACGCTTTCCTCATGCCGCATTAATGAAACTACTGAAATCACCCCCCCCATTCTCTCCCACTATGTCCAATCGTCCCCCCTGTGTGATTTAGTCATATAAACAGCAAAGTGTGCTGCATATAATCACCTTACATCAAATGCATCTCATCCACAAAGGCTGCGGCTTACAAAAAAGGGGCCTTTTGTGGAAGGGATAATCTGATAATAAATTGACCTGTCATTTAAGATACATCTGCAAGGGTCATTTCCTAATGTCTGTGTTTACTGAACGGACCTTGAGGTTGGTCTGACTTCTCTGTTTCTTTCTCTTTCTTTTTGTGAGGTGATGACTAACTCCTTTTGACCAGCACACTTTTCCACAGTTCCCAGTTTACTCCGATAGATTAATGACTCCCCCATTTGTGTGCATGCTTGTAAGAGTGTGTGTGTGTGTGTGTCTGTGTGCCTAGTGGAGCGTCTGTGTGCATTTCCGCCATGAATGGCTGGTCTTTCAGGGACACTGGCGGCTGCCTGAGTAAAAACAGCCAGCTTTTGTATGGGTCTCTGTCTACTCTCATCTAAAGCAAATTAGAAATCAGGAGCGGGGAAGAATTTGAGCTCCCTCCTGCCATTTGCAGCGTAGCATTATAGTAAACCTGCCCAGTGTGCTCTTATCTGAGACATGTTGACTGAAATGACTGTCATTATGGTGCCACTTTTTGAGCTGGTCTGTAATGAAACCCTAGCCACAGTGATCTCAAACTGCCATATTATCAGCTATAAATCTTCCCTAAAGATGCTTTCTGCAGTTCATCTGCTTGACCAGCGCTCACACTGAGCCCTTAATCTTGGGTTTTACTATTAGCATGTGCGGTGTGACTTCAGAGGGCTTAGCATATCATGGGAAGGATATGACTAAAAGCATATTTGTAAAATAAAAAAAATGACTTTTTCATTACATAAATTCACAATTTGGTCATATTCAAAATTAGTAATATTCAGGAAGTCCTTGAAAGTGGTGTTATCTAACTCGACATTTCAGTCACTGTGTTATATATCACTGCTGAAAAAACCAGCATGAACCAATATTTCAATTCTAGCTTATGCTGGTTAGGACCAGTGGTGGAAAGAGTACTGAAAAAATATACTCAAGTAAAAGTACCATTACCTTTCAAAAAATGTAGTGTGAGTAGAGTAAAAGTACTTGTCCAAAAAAACTACTTGAGTAAGAGTAAAAAAGTAGCCTATTTAAAAGTACTCATGAGTATTGAGTAGTGAGTACTGAGCTGTGGATTCTACCCCATCATAATAAACACTGTACACCGCAATTGATACATTTTAAAAACGTTGTACATTCTGTAATTCACATTATCTTGTTTGTCATAAAGAATGAAGAATATCTTTCATCCAGCAGTTTTAATTTTGACTGCCAACTCTTTAAAATACATCAAAACAGCACGGAAACAGTATTCAGTTGAAGAAAAGATGAAAGTTATTCTCAGTACAATCATCCCCATTTAAATCATAAAGTTAGAAAAAAATAGATTTAAAATCATGTGTAAGGCCACTGAGACAGCATGCTGTTGTCGCACATAAAATATTAATGTTTAGAACAGTGCAAATACAAAAGGTACACAATTTTTAAACTACTCAAAAAAGTACAATTACTGATAAGAACTACTTAATTACTGTAACGTGAGTATTTGTAATTCGTTACTTCACACCCCTGGTTAGAACTAGTTCTGCACTGGTCAGCACCCTGTTCACCAGCTGGTAGTTACACATGACCAAACCATGGACCAATTAGAGATACGTTTCCTGTACAATGGCAAAACACACTGATTAACTACCATACTACGATGCATTGTTGAGGAAAATAAAGGTAGGGTAGGTGATTTCGGAGAGGCTAGCAATAGCAAGCTATCTTTGAACGGTGGGAATAAGATCCCACCCTCCCTGCATAATCACTCTCCAAAGCCACACCTCCTCCAAAACACATGAGGCAGACCAGAGGCTAACCAGTGACACGATGAGAGACGGCGTTGGTGGAGGGTTGAATGCAACGTCATATCTCATCTCATTCACCACTGAGTAAACATTACAGTACAGAGCGCATAATATTACAATATAACAGCTTTCATTCTCGCTCTGTCTGCAATAGTGTAATGGAACGCGCTGATGACGTATCACGTCTGTGTGAACAGGGTGCACGGAGGTTAGGGCTGGGTAAAAATATCGATATCTCGATTTTTTCATAGATTCTCATTTTTACGGAACAATATCGATTCTTAAATCCCAAGAATCGATTAATCTAGCCTGTTTTCAGTTAATGGACGGAACGTTAAAGGGCACTTCCCATCCAATAAATTGCAATAAGCATTGTGCTTTGGGACTTTTAATATGAAACAAAGTCTCAGATTTCAAATTCTTTCCATTGTATTGCAGTATTCAAACAATAAATGCCGTTTTGGCGCTGTTTAATGTGGAGGGACAGATCGCTGTAGGCTTCAGTTCAATAAAAGCGGCAGCGTGAGGCGCACGTGAACTAATCATCTCCTCCACATTAATACCAGTTTCAGCACAAAATAAACATGACTAAACATCCGAAGGTAAGTTAAA